TCCCCCTCCCTTCTGACCCACAGCCCCTCCCCCAACTGCTGTGCCAGTCCTCCTCTGTCCTGACTTGCAGCCCCCCCTTACTCCAGCCCTGGGCTCCCCCTCCCCTGCTGAGCTAACGCTTCTGTTTACCCTCTTGTTCCCCCTCAGCTTTCTTTAAGGCGATCCGGGCACTGCTGATCTTTGCGCTGCTGGCTTCCTGCGTGGCCGTGGCCTCTCTGCTGCTCTCCTTCAGGCCAGGCGCCCGATGGCGGGCCTCTCACTTCCTGGTCTCAGCTGTGGCCAATTTCATCGCAGGTAAAAAGATCAGAACCCTTCCCTTCCCTCCATCCCCTGGAGAAACACGAGCCTCGGGCAGCCAACAGCCCCTGGCTATCTGGATGGCTCCTCTGGCACCAAGGTGCAGCCAGCTCTGGGGTGGGGCAGGTGGGGAACAGCCACACATAACACTGCCTGGGGATGTTCTCCTAGCATGGGGATGCAGCCAGCTCTGAGGCAGAGCAGGTGGGGAACAGCCACATGTAACACTTCACAATGATGACTCGCCCAGCACTGAAATGTAGTCAGCTCTGGGGTGAGATGGCTGGGGAACTGCCACACATAACGCTGCCCGGGGATGCACTTCTGGTGCTGGGATGCCACCTGCTCTGGGACGGAACTGCACAGGCTATGCCTTGCCCCCCAGTGCAGGATACTGGGGGAGTGAAGAGCTGTGGGAGCAGCTGATGGCTGGCAGCTGGAAGCATTCAGGGGTGTCCGGTCTCCCCAGGGCTGCTCGTGCTGATCAGCGTCGTGATCTTCACAGCGCACGTGATCCTGGGCATCGTTAACCCACAGGCCAGGGCCTCCTTCGAATGGGCCTTCTTCCTCTGCTGGACCCTCAGCCCCATCTTCGTCTTCAGTGGTGAGCCCCACCCTGGGGCAGAGTCACACACGGGGCCTGTGCCCAGGGGCCCTGCCCCCTGCCCTCCTCTTACCCCAGGGGCCACCCCCGGGCCAGCTCGGAACCAGAGCCAGGTCAGGGCAGGAGCCACCAGAATAGCCAGTTGAAAAGGGGCCCCGGTGGCTCCATTGAAATCCGGGTGGGACGGCTCCCTATCCCAGCCCTGTCTGGCTCCGGGAAGTGACCCCAGGTCCCTGCGGCCCCTGGGCAAAGGTGCGACCAGGGAGACTCCGCCCGCTGCCCCCGTCCCAAGTGCCGGCTCTGCAGCTCCCATTGGCTGGGAGCTGTGGCCAATGGGAGCTGTAGGGGCGGTGCCTACAGGCACAGGCAGCGCATGGCGCCCCCTGGCCCGTACACCTAGGAACCAAGGGACATGCCAGTCGCTGCCAGTTGCTACCTGAGGTCAGCCCTGGCTCTTCCAACACCTCACACCCCCTCCCGCACCCCCAGAGCCCTGACCCAGCCCAGGAGCCCCCTCCCACACCCCAGACCCCCCATTCCCAGGCTCTCCTCAGAGCCTGCACCCCAGCTGGAACCCTCACTCCCACCTGCACCCCAACCTCCTGCCCCAACTCAGTGAAAATGTGCAAGTGAGTGAAGGGTGGTGGGGAGACTGAGGAAGGGGTGGAGCCACGGGCAGGGGGCGGGGCCATGGGCAGGGGGCAAGCCAGGTTTTCCGTGCCATTAGACAGTTGACAGTTGTAGCCAGGCCTCCTGCTGCCAGCTGGGCTGCACCCACCGGCTCCCTCCTGCCCCACTGGACTTTGTGCCTGGGGCTGGCAGTTTGGGGGGCGATGTCCCCTCGCCCCACCCCCAAGCTCGGCCCACGCTGCAAGGCCCCTGTTCTGGAATGGGCATGCAGGGCTTCCTGCCCTGGGCCCAGGGTGTGGGGGGTCCAAAGGCTATTTGGGACATATTCCCCCCCGACCCCCATCTCACCACAATGGGGACAGGCTGGAGGGGGCGAGCCCCACTCCCCATGGGGGGGGTTCTGCTATCTAATCCTGCCCTCCCCCCTGCAGGGATCCTGTGTTTCTTTGTCCACAGCTGCCTCCTGGCACCAAGCCGCGTGGGACCCCAGAGCCAGGACAGCCTGGACCTCGAGGCGTCGCTGACCCAGGAGGAGTCAGAGGAGGGGCCAGGGGCAGGAACCCTCCCGCTGGGGCAGACGTTGCCAGCTCAGGAGGGGCCAGAGCCGGGGCTGGGGGCAGAGCACTTCCCACTGGAAGGGGGGGGGTTAAATGCCGGAGGGGGGGCCGAGGGCAGAGCCCCTCCCCCTGGGCCAAGTGATGCCGGAGGGGGGGCCGAGGGCAGAGCCCCTCCCCCTGGGCCAAGTGATGCCGGAGGGGGGGCCGAGGGCAGAGCCCCTCCCCCTGGGCCAAGTGATGCCGGAGGGGGGGCCGAGGGCAGAGCCCCTCCCCCTGGGCCAAGTGATGCCGGAGGGGGGGCCGAGGGCAGAGCCCCTCCCCCTGGGCCAAGTGATGCCGGAGGGGGGGCCGAGGGCAGAGCCCCTCCCCCTGGGCCAAGTGATGCCGGAGGGGGGGCCGAGGGCAGAGCCCCTCCCCCTGGGCCAAGTGATCCCAGAGGGGGGGCCGAGGGCAGAGCCCCTCCCCCTGGGCCAAGTGATCCCAGAGGGGGGGCCGAGGGCAGAGCCCCTCCCCCTGGGCCAAGTGATCCCAGAGGGGGGGCCGAGGGCAGAGCCCCTCCCCCTGGGCCAAGTGATCCCAGAGGGGGGGCCGAGGGCAGAGCCCCTCCCCCTGGGCCAAGTGATCCCAGAGGGGGGGCCGAGGGCAGAGCCCCTCCCCCTGGGCCAAGTGATCCCAGAGGGGGGGCCGAGGGCAGAGCCCCTCCCCCTGGGCCAAGTGATCCCAGAGGGGGGGCCGAGGGCAGAGCCCCTCCCCCTGGGCCAAGTGATCCCAGAGGAGGGGCCGAGGGCAGAGCCCCTCCCCCTGGGCCAAGTGATGCCAGAGGGGGGGCCAGAGGCAGAACCCCTCCCACTGGGCCAAGTGATGCCGGAGGAGGGGCCGAGGGCAGAGCCCCTCCCCCTGGGCCAAGTGATGCCGGAGGGAGGACTGGGGGCAGAGCCCCTCCCTCTGGGGCAGGTAACACTGGCTCAGGGGGAACAGGAGGGGGGAGCAGCTTCAGAGCCCTTCTCCCTGGGGCCGGTGAAACCGGCTCCAGGGGAGCTGGAGAGGGGGCAGGGGGCAGAGCCCCTCCCCCAGGGGCAGGAGGGGGCTGCACAAGGGGCTGAGGGAGAGTTGAAAGTGGGTGATTCGTCTTAGGCCCCCATGGGTGCCTATTAACCCTTGAGTGCCAGGACCCCTAGGGGCGAAGGAGCTGCTGGGCGGGGTCAGATGAGGAGATGAGGTGACTGTGGTTGTGTGGGTGTGTTTGTTGTGTGTGAGCATGGGGGTGTGGTTGTGTTTGTGTGGGGGTGTGTGTGGTTGTGTTTGTTGTGTGGGAGTGGGGCTGTGGAACACACTTCCCCAGCCAACCCAGATTGCTCCCATCCTGTGCAGAGTATTAAAGTTATTAGTGTTATTTATTTGTACTGCAGTAGCACTTAGGAGCCTCGGCCCCGGGTGAGGGCCCCAGCTGTGCCAGGCAGTGTGCAAGCCCCGAACAAAAAGACAATCTAAGTATCAGATGAGAGAAGTGGATGCAACAGGCGCGCTGCAGGAGCACAAGTAAACAATGAGACAGAATTCGTCAGTATAATGGGCAGTGGTCTCAGCACACCAGCTGCCTAAGCATTGTTGAAGCTTTTGTTGGTCCCACAGCAGAGGAGTGCATTAAAGAGGGATATGAAGGAGAACAATGTGGAACTCTAATGCAGAGCTTAAGTTCAGCCACAGCCACCTGGAGCAGAGCTCCAGTAAATATTTGCAAAACCACAGAAGTCCCTGTACTTCCGATGGGGCTGTAAATCCCCACCCCACCCCACCCCAGCCCATGAGTCATAGGGTATGTCTAGACTACATCCCTCTGTCGCCAGAGGGATGTAAATTAGACATACCGAAATTGCTCATGAAGCAAGGATTTAAATATCCCACGATTCTAATTAATTCATTCAAATGAAGGCTCCATTGGTGACACAACCTGCCCCTCGGCTCCTGAGCTTTGCGTGGGGAAGCGACGCCGGCGGCCGAACCCACCCAGGCGCCCCGGGCTGCTCCAATCCCCAGAGGGGTGCGGGCGCCCAACTCCCCTCGGGGCCCTCGCTGAAAACGTCCCAAAGTGCCATGGGGGGGGGAGCCGCGGGGCCAGGCAGCGAGACGTCAGAGGCCCAAAAGCGGCTCTGCCCAGCCCCAGGACACAGCCCCAGTCGGGCTGGCCCAGTGCCACGGTGAGTCCCTTGAAATGGAAAAGGCGCAGCAGGGGACAGGCCACAGCTGGGTGTGCGGCCACTTCCGGGAAAGGAGAGATGGAAACGCTGGCGCAAGCCAGCTCAGGGAAGGGACAGCAGAGGGACAGGCCACTAAGAGCTGGGTTAACCTTTGGGACTCCCTGTCCCTGCCACCGGATCAGAGCAGGGTTAACCCGATGCCCCTACCTCGCCGGCCCTGGAGGGGGGTGCAGGTCCCCAGCTGACACTCCTGCCACAGCCCGCGGTGAATGACGATGCCCAGGACCCAGAGCCGGAGCCAGGACTCAGTGGCAGCACATACAGCCAGCAAGACAGTTGCCAAGCAGGAGAGATAGAGCCCGGTTGCCCCCATCTTGGAGGCCTGGCCCAGGGCCATTGTAGACAGGGGAGACCGGGCACAGCTAGGCTGGAAAAGCTGTGGGGTTAACCTGTGGGACTCCTTGCCACTGGGCACTACAGGGGTTAACTACCAGGACTCCCTGTCACTGACCATTGGAAGGGTTAACCCTTGGGGCTTCCTGCTTCTGGACATTGGTGGGGTTAACCCCCAAAGCTCCCTATCACTGGGCATTGGTGGGGTTAACCTGCGGGACTCCCTATCACTGGGCATTGGAGGGGTTAACCTGCGGGACTCCCTGTCACTGGGCATTGGTGGGTTAACACCCAGGTCTTTGCTACTGGGTTCAGATGGGGTTACC